TATAGTGTGAATACCAAAAGATGTAAGGTTGATAATGATAGTCCCACATACTTGTGGCACTGCCGCCTTGATCACATAGGTGTCAAACGCATCAAGAAGCTCTATGCAGATGGACTTTTGGAGTCTCTTGATTACGAATCATTTGACACGTGCGAACCATGCCTCATGGGTAAAATGACCAAGACTCCGTTCTCAGAAACAATGGAGCGAGCAACCAACTTGTTGGAAATCATACATACTGATGTGTGCGGTCCAATGAGTGTTGAGGCTCGCGATGGCTATCGTTATGTTCTCACCCTCACTGATGACTTGAGTAGATATGGGTATGTCTACTTAATGAAACACAAGTCTGAGACCTTTGAAAAGTTCAAGGAATTTCAGAGTGAGGTTGAGAATCAATGTGACAGGAAAATCAAGTTCTTGCGATCAGATCGTGGGGGAGAATACTTGAGTCACGAATTCGGCACACACTTAAGGAAATGTGGAATAGTTTCACAACTCACGCCGCCTGGAACACCTCAGCGTAATGGTGTGTCCGAACATCGTAATTTCACTCTATTGGATATGGTGCGATCTATGATGTCTCTTACCGATTTACCGCTGTCATTTTGGGGCCATGCTTTAGAGACTGCCACATTCACTTTAAATAGGGCTCCGTCGAAATCCGTTGAGACGACACCGTATGAATTATGGTTTGGGAAGAAACGTAAGCTGTCGTTTCTAAAAGTTTGGGGATGCGATGCTTATGTCAAGAAACTTCAACCTGAAAAGCTCAAACCCAAGTCGGAAAAATGCGTCTTCATAGGATACCCTAAAGAAACTATTGGGTATACCTTCTACCTCAGATCCGAAGGCAAGATCTTTGTTGCCAAGAATGGATCCTTTCTAGAGAAAGAGTTTCTCTCGAAAGAAATAAGTGGGAGGAAAGTAGAACTCGATGAAGTATTACCTCTTGAACCGGTAAGTGGCGCAACTCAAGAAATTATTCCTGAGGTGCCTGCACCGACTAGAGAGGAAGTTAATGATGATGATCATGAAACTTCAGATCAAGTTGCTACTGAACTTCGTAGGTCCACAAGGACATGTTCCGCACCAGAGTGGTACGGTAACCCTGTCCTGAAAATCATGTTGTTAGACAATGGTGAACCTTCAAACTATGAAGAAGCGATGGCGGGCCCAGATTCCGACAAATGGCTGGAAGCCATGAAATCTGAGATAGGATCCATGTATGAAAACGAAGTATGGACTTTGACTGACTTGTCCGATGATTGACGAGCCATAGAAAATAAATGGATCTTTAAGAAGAAGACAGACGCGGATGGTAATGTAACCATCTATAAAGCTCGGCTTATCGCTAAGGGTTATCGACAAGTTCAAGGGGTTGACTACGATGAGACTTTCTCACCCGTAGCAAAGCTGAAGTCCGTCCGAATCATGTTAGCAATTGCCGCATTCTATGATTATGAGATATGGCAAATGGACGTCAAAACGGCATTCCTTAATGGTTTCCTTAAGGAAGAATTGTATATGATGCAGCCGGAAGGTTTTGCCGATCCTAAGAATGCTGACAAGGTGTGCAAGCTCCAACGCTCGATTTATGGGCTGGTGCAAGCATCTTGGAGTTGGAACATTCGTTTTGATGAGATGATCAAAGCGTTTGGGTTTACGCAGATTTATGGAGAAGCCTGCATTTACAAGAAAGTGAGTGGGAACTCTGTAGCATTTCTCATATTGTATGTGGATGACATACTGTTGATGGGAAATTCTATAGAATTCTTGGAAAGCATAAAGGCCTACTTGAACAAGTGTTTTTCAATGAAGGATCTTGGAGAAGCTGCTTATATATTAGGCATCAAAATCTATAGAGATAGATCAAGACGCCTCATTGGTCTTTCACAGAGTACGTACCTTGACAAGATATTGAAGAAGTTCAAAATGGATCAGTCAAAGAAGGGGTTCTTGCCTGTATTGCAAGGTACAAGATTGAGCATGGCTCAATGCCCGACCACGGCAGAAGATAGAGAAAAGATGAGTGTCGTCCCCTATGCCTCGGCCATAGTGTCTATCATGTATGCTATTCTGTGTACCAGACCTGATGTAAACCTTGCCGTAAGTTTGGTAGGAAGGTACCAAAGTAATCCCGCCATGGAACACTAGACAGCGGTCAAGAATATCCTGAAGTACCTGAAGAGGACTAAGGACATGTTTCTTGTTTATGGAGGTGACAAAGAGCTCGTCGTAAAGGGTTACGTCGATGCTAGCTTCGACACAGATCTGGATGACTCTAAGTCACAAACCGGACACGTGTATATTTTGAATGATGGGGAAGTAAGCTGGTGCAGTTGCAAGCAAAGCGTTGTGGCGGGATCTACATGTGAAGCGGAGTACATGGCAGCCTCGGAGGCAGCACAAGAGGCAATCTGGGTGAAGGAGTTCATTACCGACCTAGGAGTCATACCCAATGCGTCGGGCCCGATGACTCTCTTCTGTGACAACACTGGAGCTATTGCCCTTGCCAAGGAGCCCAGGTTTCACAGGAAGACCAGGCATATCAAGCGTCGCTTCAACTCCATTCGTGAAAGTGTTCAAAATGGAGACATAGATATTTGTAAAGTACATACAGACCTGAATGTGGCAGATCCGTTGACTAAACCTCTCCCTAGAGCGAAACATGATCAACACCAGAACTGCATGGGTGTTCGATTCATCACAATGTAACTAGACTATTGACTCTAGTGCAAGTGGGAGACTGTTGGAAATATGCTCTAGAGGCAATAATAAAATGGTAATTATTATATTTCTTTGTTCATGATAATTGTCTTTTGTTCATGCTATAATTGTGTTATCCAGAAATCGTAATACATGTGTGAATACATAGACCACAACACGTCCCTAGTGAGTCTCTAGTTGACTAGCTCGTTGATCAAAAGATAGTCATGGTTTCCTGACTATGGACATTGGATGTCATTGATAACGGGATCACATCATTAGGAGAATGATGTGATGGATAAGACTCAATCCTAAGCATACCTCAAAGATCATGTAGTTCGTTTGCTATAGCTTTTCCGAATGTCAAGTATCATTTCCTTAGACCATGAGATTGTGCAACTCCCGGATACCGTAGGAGTGCTTTGGGTGTGCCAAACGTCACAACATAACTGGGTGACTATAAAGGTACACTACAGGTATCTCCGAAAGTGTCTGTTGGGTTGGCACGAATCGAGACTGGGATTTTTCACTCCATATGACGGAGAGGTATCTCTGGGCCCACTCAGTAATGCATCATCATAATGAGCTCAATGTGACCAAGTGGTTGATCACGGGATCATGCATTACGGTATGAGTAAAGTGACTTGCCGGTAACGAGATTGAACGAGGTATTGGGATACCGACTATCGAGTCTCGGGCAAGTAACGTACCGATTGACAAAGGGAATTGTATACGGGATTGATTGAATCCTCGACATCGTGGTTCATCCGATGAGATCATCGAGGAGCATGTGGGAGCCAACATGGGTATCCAGATCCCTCTGTTGGTTATTGACCGGAGAGTCATCTCGGTCATGTCTGCGTGTCTCCCGAACCCGTAGGTTCTACACACTTAAGGTTTGGTGACGCTAGGGTTGTTGAGATATTAGTATACGGTAACCCGAAAGTTGTTCGGAGTCCCGGATGAGATCCCGGACGTCACGAGGAGTTCCGGAATGGTCCGGAGGTGAAGATTTATATATAGGAAGTCAAGTTTCGGCCATCGGGAAGGTTTCGGGGGTAATCAGTATTGTACCGGGACCACCGGAAGGGTCCTGGGGGTCCACCGGGTGGGGCCACCTATCCCGGAGGGCCCCATGGGCTAAAGTGGGAGGGGAACCAGCCCCTAGTGGGCTGGTGCGCCCCCATGGGCCTCCCCCTGCGCCTAGGGTTGGAAACCCTAGGGGTGGGGGGCGCCCCACTTGGCTTGGGGGGCACTCCACCCCCCTTGGCCGCCGCCCCCCTTGGAGATTCAATCTCCTAGGGCCGGCGCCCCCTAGGGGTCCTATATATAGTGGGGGGAGGGAGGGTAGCTGCACCCTAGCCCCTGGCGCCTCCCTCTCCCTCCCGTGACACTCCTCCCTCTCCCTGAGCTTGGCGTAGCGCTGCTGAGATCACGGTTGATTCCACCACCACGCCATCATGCTGCTGGATCTTCATCAACCTCTCCTTCCCCCTTGCTGGATGAAGTTGGAGGAGACGTCTTCCCAACCGTACGTGTGTTGAACGCGGAGGTGCCGTCCGTTTGGCGCTAGGTCATCGGTGACTTGAATCACGACGAGTACGACTCCATCAACCCCGTTCTCTTGAACGCTTCCGCGCGTGATCTACAAGGGTATGTAGATGCACTCCTCTCTCCCTCGTTGCGAGATGACTCCATAGATTGATCTTGGTGATGCGTAGAAAATTTTAAAATTCTGCTACGTTACCCAACACTTAGCCCAATTATCTTATCGTTATTAGGATCATTTTCTTAGGAGTCAAGTAAACCTCTCTATATAAGGAGAGGAGATGTATCAATCTAATCAAAAGCAAGAAGCAATCATTATTTGCTTGGCTTCCCGAAGGGTGCCGGGAAACCTAACCCTAGCCACCTCTTGCGCCGCCGTCGCCTCTTCTTCATCGCGCCACGACGCCCCGCCATCGGCAGCCGCGATCGCATCTACGTCAACCCTCCGCCTTCCCGTACAACCTACGCCCTAGACCAGGTAGGATCCTAGCTCCTAGCAAATAGTAGCATTCCTAATACTTCTCCAACTAAAATAACAAATTGGAAACACTAACACCGTATGAACGGAAGAAGATCATGAGATATCTAAAAGTTCCTTTAACTTTTCTAGATGTTACACATTTGGACAATAAAATTAGAAGCTGTTGGTATCACCACTACGAAATTTGTACAACCAGGAATCCTAAATAGCTTAGCAAACTTTATATGCATGTCCTCGGGTAAGTTAAAAAACTAGGGGGTTGTCAACGATTGCTACCCTCAGGCTTTGAAGCATTTCGCTCCTCAGGCTTTGAAGCATTTCGCTCCAACGCTTCAACCTGCTTCATCGACTTTTCTTTCCTCTGATACAGTTCTCTGAATTCCTCGGGGCTAAAGGGAGGAGGCAGACTGCATGGGCCAGCAACGTTTGCAGACTTTACCATGGAATCCTCCATAAACTTCTTCTCCCTGCCTATGGCTTGGCAGGCCAAAGATTCGGGACAGACCTCAACAGCTTCAGGTGGCTTTGTTGGCTTGAACAGTAGGAGCTTAGCGTACTCTGTTAAGAGGTGAAACATGTAATCGTATACATATTCCATACTAAGTTCTTGTTGAATGAACTTGCTTCCTTCCTTCCCTATTTTCTGTGCCTATGAACAGTTTTTGAAGAGGAGGTGTTAGAAACATGTTCTTCAGATACTATCGAATCCACGGGAAGTATGCTATGATATTTTCTACTCCCACCAATCCATATTAACTTAATAACTTTGTACTAAATCGGCGATAATTAATATGGATTGGAGGGATTACTAGCTAAAGGCCAATGTGTTTCAGCTCATACAAAAAAAAACAGTTAAGGTCATTCCTAGCTGCATAACATACCTTTTTCTTGTGAGAATTTCCCCAGTCCACAGCATACTTTATGGAGCTACACTTACTTTCATCTCGAACAGGCCAATAGTGCTGAGTGGGCATCAGCGCCCTTGAAAAGAAATCGTAGTATTTCGGGTTAATCACTAGCGTCATCGAATCACAAGCTAGGATATACTTCTCACTAACTGACCACGCTGATCCTTCGATGTAGATCTTGTACCTATCACCCAACATAACAATTTCAACACGGATGATAGAACAAACAAGTCTTGACTAACTTTTAATAAGAGAAAAGTAGAAAAGAAACCTGTGGGTGCATTGACTTGCCAAATCTGATTTTTTGTATCCCGCCTTGCTCTCTTTAACCCAATCCTAAATGAAAACAGCAAAAGTAAGCAAGCTAATCAGCCATAGCCACCATCAAGATTATTTTGTTCGAACAAAAGGGTGTGTTCTAGATCAGAGGGATTAGAAGAATTGTAAGAGAACAACATAATTTGAAAATATAGAATAGGATTTCGAACTTGTAAGAATAAAATGGGATGTCAACACTCCCTTCAATTATAAAAGAGCGCAATGCAACATAAACTCAAACAAGTATGTACCTGTTTGTAAATCCGTGCATTCCATTCTTGCTCACTGGAAACATTACACTCAACCAGCTCTTGCCTTATAGCTGCGACCTCTGGATTCCCTTTCCAATAAGCATAAGGCTCTCTATCTATCCATCTCACCTTCCTATTGCCAGCATCCAGATCCTTTTGCAGCGCATCCCAGGGCTTTATATTGATCTCGGCCCTATCAGCACAAAGTCAGTTTAAGCATTTGCACTTTGTTTACAAATCAAAGCATAGAATAATAAATTTAATTTGGATCAATGTGTACTATGCACTTCAAATTTATACACTTCTCAGGATACAAAACTTCAGGGAAACATACTGATATTTTACCATTTGCTTCCAGTTTGCGTCCATTGATTTGCTCCCATAGCATCAGAACATTGGATTTAGCTGATACGAAAGTAAAAAAAAAGTGCATTCGTATGTTTCATACATGAATACAATGTACCATGTATATTGGACAACTATTTTGATCATGGTTGGAAAGTCCTTGGGTCTGTCAAAGACTCAAAGCTTATGTACTCCAAATCAAGTCTCACATGAAGAATGTTGACTTTGTACTATTCCTAGTAAAAATATGATTATCATAACAGTAATGGTGCATGAATCACTGGTGCTGATTTAATACTGATGTTCAATTGCATTGTTAATGAATAGTGACCCAGATGTTGGAAATAGGAATGCATAGAACGTGTAAGAAATACGAGCACGAAGGAAGGGAGGAGCAGTTGCTTACCAGCCCCAGAAAGACCAGTCCGGGAAAACTATGTCGAGTGTCTCATTGTTGCCGCAGTAGCGGAAAAGCGGTGGCAAGATGGTGGCGTTCTCCCCCTGGTACTCATCAGCATGGACAACCGGCCAGTCCACGCAGTCGAACATGAGGTCGAGATCGGGGATGCGACCAGGGTAGCGGCGGAGTAGCTGGAGGATGCCCCAGATGGTGAAGAGGTCACGCGTCTGGAAGGCTGGCGCGATGCGCTCAATGTAGGCAAGGCCATGGAGTATGACAAGGCGGAAGTTGGCGGTGGTGCGCGCGCGGTCGAGCATCGTGCGCGTGATGCCCCCCGCCGCGCGCCACGGGTGGAGGTCCTCGTGGATGAAGCGGAAGTAGGCAGGGCAGGAGGAGTTGGCGGCGGTAGTGGGGGGAACCAGCTGTGTCTCGGAGACAGAGGCGCATGTGGCGTTTGAGGAGAGCGCGAGGGACAGAGTCTGAGAGATGTTGCTTGGGATGTCAGGCTCACCGGCGAGTGGCGGCGCCGAGCAGGAGAGGGAGTATGTGGGGAGCGGCGGCGGCGGCACATCAGGGGTGGCAGGGATGGAGGTGGAATGCGTGGCGGTCAGGAATTTAGGATCGCCTGCATGGACGGAGATTCAATCTTTGGTTGTGAGTAATTCCGTTATAAAAGCTGGTATTTTCGCAACAAATTTGGAATTCTAGGGCTCTAGACATGTCAAAAGTTAAAATGCTGGAACTGGCCAATAAGTATGTCCTACTAGGTGAAAATGCTGCTAGAAATTCCATGCAGCGCAGAAAATTCTCCTTTTCTTATTTGATCAGACCATAACATTTTATTTTTGTAGGACAAACCAACCCTGTAAAATCCATTCTCAAGAAAAAATCATGTAAAATGACATTTCATAGGAAGAGTATATATATGAAAACAGAAAAACAGAGAGAGGAAGACCATATGCATGTCACTCTACTGGAGACTAAGGCAAGTTATGAGTCAGATCAAGCAAATAAGAATGGTGAGTGGGCAGTGGGCTTACCTACCGGGTTTGTGCGCCACCGATCTAGATTGGTGTCTGCCAAATTAGTCTGCATACGTACATGTACGATAATAACAAATCCGTGTTGGTAAGAGCCTCGCAGATGGCAGTAAACATCAATCAATAAAGTTAAGAAAAAATAGTGTGCCAGCCTCACGGTGGTGGTTATCCAACGGCCGGAGACGAGGACGCCGACCACGACGACGAAGAGGAAGAGGAAGACGGCGGTGGCGGTCACCGGAGACGAAGGACCGCCGGAAGCTTTGCTCCACCTCCGGACGTCAGGGATGGCGGCGGCTGCGGTGGCCATCGCCCGCCTGGCCGCTCTCGGCCTCCCTTCCACCTCCGCGTCTCCTTCACGGCCAGAGACCTGTCTCCTACCGCGGTGGCGATGTGCTCTGCCCTGTGAAAGAAACAGGAAAAGAATGAGGTGATCGTCGCCGCAGAAGAAAACAGAACGCCGATCGCTGAGGAGAAGGCGTCCACGTGGGCTCGTGTGGCTGCAGGCGGGACGCGGTCAGAGCAAGTTGGTTTCGCTCGCTCACGTGTGAGCCGGAGGGAGTTTCGCAACAGACCGAGAGAAAAGGGGGAAGCTTTGCTAGGGAAGAGGGCCAAAAAATTTGGGAATCCAAATCCCAATTGACGAGCTGAGGTTTTCCCCAATTTTAATTTCGGAAACCCTAAATCGCCGAAAACTGCAAACCCTAAAACGCCCAATCATGATGCGAATGCTTTGAACATAATGCTGACCAGCAAGCGCCATCCTCGACGATGACGACGCGGGCGGGTGGCTCGCCCCGCCGACCGCGCATCCCCGTGCAGTGCGCTGCACGGTCTCCGTGCGTGTACCCACCGCCCGCTGTGTCCTCTCAGCTCTAGCGGGTGCCGCACTTCAGGAAGACGATGCGGGACGCCCAGGCTACACACGAGCACGGCCGTCGCCGCTGTCACCGGCGCCTCCCCGTCGCACGAGCACCCCAAATGTCCATGCGCGCGACACGGCGAGCGCTGTTCGACGGAGCAGCTCACGACGTCTGGCCGATGCAGGCCACTTTGCCGAACAGGGGCGCCGCGCCGTCGAACTCTCTCGTTCGGTGCGAGAAAATTGGCTGGGGAGGAGAGCGAGAGAAGTACCGTCCGATTGATCAGCACAGGCTGCGGGCGTTTGATACGCGCAAATTCAACCATGTGCTACCGGTCAGATTAACATAGCCCCACCGATTCTTTTTTCCGTTGGTACTACTAGTTTTTTGTTTTGTTTTTGCGGGCACTACTAGTTTTTTCTTTTCTTTTTAGACGCCTCATACATACGCAAGCACACACGCACACACGTCATACCCCCATGAGCGTGTCACAAGATTGTGTCGTGTGATACATCATCTTGAGCTTAACGAAGTCGCTATAGACATCTTCGTACTCGATGGAAACGTCTTTTTCCACTGAACGCACATCGCCGAGAGGGCTAAATCCTAGAAAATGCAAGCACCGGTCTCAAAGTATAGAACTTCAACCTTGGTGGACTGGGATATCACTATCCTCCTAACTGTCTAATCACAGATTGGTTCACATTGGTACTGCTAGTTATGGACCGAGTGATCGGTGATGCATACATCCTTTTGTATTAAAAATACTAGCTATGGTAACCGGTTCTAAGAAAACTAGTTATGTTCCCTCATCCTCTTAGTTTTATTTTTTATTTTTGATAAAACATGAAATTTATTTATAAGAAATGAACATTTCCAAAAATATAAGAATTTTTTTTTAGAAATTCCAAATTTTTTCTAATAAAGCTAAACATTTATTTGAAAATTCATGAAATAAAAAAACATCCCAAACATAATTTGAATTTTTGGGATTTAAAAAAAAAAATTGGACCATTATGAAAAACTAAAAACCCTGGAAAGATTTAAATTAAAAAAGGATAAAAACTAAACATTTGGTTAAAAAACAAACACAAAATACTTGGCCAAACCTTCTAGAATCTTGTAGCAGCTAGTTGGGCCAGCCCATTCGTGTTTTGGCCCTGTGCGATTCATGATAATGCGATGGATTGGACCCACCCTCAAGGAACAGCCCTAAACTTCCTCATTTGTTCACGAGGCTGTCCGGAGGCACATTTGGGCCGAAACTCCTCACCAACGGGGCCATCATTTATTTGCGGATTGTAATAGTCTTATTTGGACCCAAATTGGGGCTCATGCGCACATCAACCCCACCCCACTGAAACCTTTCCTTTTCCCCCTCTCGCTCACCTCTGTCTCCTCTTGAGCGCTCCTTCCCGACTTAGTCGTTGCCAACCGCTCGCCCTCCCAACATAGCTGCTGCTCACTGCCATTAACTCTGTCCACCACATGTCGTCGTTTCCCCTACCGCATTTTCCCCTTGCAGTCGCACCGCACATGCATCCCAACCCAGCCACCACATATCTCACATCTCTCTCCCCTGCCCAATCCACCTCGTCAGTCATTGATGGATGGCACGACACTCAATGGCTTGAATCCATAGCCTCACGAAATATAGTAATGCGTGTGTCGCTCGCTGAGCCAATGCCATGGTCGCAGTTTTTGCCAAGCAAGCAACTGACGAAGAAATCGCCACAGGTAGGCATAGGACACTGGCTTCATGTCGTCACGCTCCAGCGTCTCAAATGGCATGAAGAAGAGCTTCCCCTTCGGCATGGACTCGACATCTAGACGTCCTACCATGTTGTTAACTCGCTGCAGCTTCAATGGCAGCAACAACCCACCCCAACCATGGTGAGGCATGTAATCTGTTTGGCTAATTGGGTGGTCGAACAACCAAACAATATACTTCGACCTTGTTGAGGCTTTTTTCATTTGTCATAGGTGTATGATACATGTGTGAACCATGTGTGATGCTGCAATTGAAATCCATTTTTGTGATGCATATTTCAGCTAGATAGCCTATTCTGGCTAATTGAAATCCATTTTTGTGATGCATATTGTCGGACAATCTCGATGTGGAAATGATGAACAAGATCAATGACGGTTAACATAGTAAGAAAATGACGGATGATGCCCATCCCAATCAATTTCATGAAATTGAAGATCAAATTGCTCACATTGGAAGTTAGGAAAATAACCAAAAGAGGAGGTGTGTACACGATGAAACAATATCAATTATTGTGCATCACATGGTTGGAGGTGACACCATATCCAATATGTGAGCGGATCAAGAGGGTTCGGCATATATGAGGAAGATTCGAGAATTCTTCCACGAGATGAAGCATTATCCCCCATTTGCAGTTGTGACTGAAACCGCAACGAGAACTCACTCAAGCATAGGTGGCAACGATTCAAGATTGTTTGCAACAAGTTACGTGACCAAGTGAAAAGTAGAAACCCAAGTGCATTAGAATTGGTATTCACGCTTGTAGGTTTGCCTTTGCTCGTTTCAATTGCTCCATGTTCATCATGATTTTACCTATGTTGGAAGATGTTCATGTGTATGCTAGTTTCTACAAAACTTGACCATATGAGCTCAAGCTGAAATTTCCAAACTCCAATATAAGGAGAAACTATTTTCATGGAACGATTATCTACCACGAATCCTCATATCGTTTGCCTCATGGTTGTATGTCATCAAGCAGCAGATTCCGGTCTTGAGCCCAGTCATCTCCATAGGGTTGAGCCCGATTGATCATTGTACATTTTTTTTTGAAAAGGGGGACATCCCCGGCCTCTGCATCGGAGAGATGCATACGGCCATCTTTATTAAACAAGCAAATAGGTTCAACACAAGTCTAAAAGTCTCAAACAAAGCTGCTCACATAGAGCTAAGGAGCAAAAACAAAAGCCACAGCCGGCCGCCAAGAGAAAGACAGGAAAACTAATTGCCTATCCTATTACATGACCGCCATCCAAACCGGCTGAAAATATCCCGTGCTACCATCTCCCATCGGATAGATCCAATAACCAAACGTTCCCTGGCCTCCGTCGGAGTGAGTAATGATCACATACGGATCAACATAGTGGCTCGGAATATAACCTGCAAAAAATGAGTATTTGATATTCTGTTAAAGACTAAATCATTTCTGCAGTTCCAGATAGCCCATAATAATGCACATACTCCTACACGAATGTGTCTCGCTATTTGGGGCTCAATCCCATCCAACCACGTTCATAATAACGTGTTAATATTATGTGGAGGAGTAATATTAAAGGCTATGTTCACTGATTGCCAAAGAATTTTTGCCATAGGACAATCGAGAAAGAGGTGCTTGATTGTTTCATCTCTATCACAAAAGCTACACCGACTGGAGCCAGTCCAACTGCGTTTAATCAAGTTATCCTTAGTTAAAATGACTTGTTTATGCACAAACCACATGAACACTTTAACTCTCAAGGGAACTTTGACATGCCAAACATGTTTCGACGTAGGAATAGAAGTAGAATTAATAACATTCAAGTACATCGATTTGACCGTAAATTCTCCATTCCTAGTAAGTTTCCAACACAACTGGTCTGGACGTTGAGAAAGTTGAACCTCCATAAGTCTTCTCACAAGATGGAGCCAAGCTTCCCAATGGTTACCGGCTAAAGTTCTCCTGAAGCTAATATGTAAAGGCGTGGACTGACATACCGTCTCAACGGTCGCATCTCTCCGTTGAACAATGCTATAGAGAGTAGGATACTGTACTGCCAATGGCATATCCCCTTGCCAAGTATCCTCCCAGAATCTTGTAGAAGTACCGTTACCGATAACCACCTTGGTCCGGTTAGAGAAGAGCGATTTAACTCTCATCAGGCCTTTCCAGAAAGGCGAATCCATCGGCCTCACTGTGACATGGGATAATGTCTTGGACTGAAGGTACTTATTACGCAAAATCTGAGCCCAAGTGGCCTCGGTCTCTCGAGAAAGCTTATACAACCATTTGCCGAGGAGATATTTGTTCTTTATCTCAAGATTTTCGATACCAAGACCCCCTTGGTCCTTCGGTCAAAAAAATAATGTCCCTTCTAGCTAATCTATACTTTCTCTTCAACTCATCACTTTGCCAGAAAAAACGGGATCGATAGAAGTCGAGTCTTTTCCGAACTCCCACTGGCACTTCGAAAAAAGACAAAAGGAACATGGGCATACTAGTGAGCACCGAATTGATAAGAACTAACCGGACTCCATATGACATCAGTTTGCCCTTCCAGCAACCCAATTTCTTCTCAAATCGATCCTCAATGCACTTCCATTCGCTATTTGTTAGCTCACGGTGATGGATGGGTATACCTAAATACGTAAAAGGTAAAGCCCCCGATTCACACCCGAACAATTGCTTATAGGCCTCTTGTTCCT